AAGATCGTTACCTTTCATGCTGAAACTTCACATTCTTTGTCCCACGAAGTTTTCATCTGGCATTGGTCTGTGGAAGTCAAGAAATGTAGAGATCAGACTGCTACATTTTCCGTTTGCTGCCATCAAAACCTTTTCCGTCTACTTTTTTCCTAGGCATGACCTCCAGCTCCGCCCGGGTAGCTTGTTCTTCTCCACTTGTTTCCAGAATCAGCTTTTTAAACGCGTCTTCCATGTTTTTGTAGGTAGGGAAGCACATAAACGTTACTCTGAAGTTGTGATAGCTTGTGCTCAACATATAAACAAGTTCTCTGTTAAAATAATCTATATTTCATTGAAAATGTTATTCAGATAGTATATTGGTTCAAGATGTCCAGCTTACCGGAGTGGGGGAAGCTGGTGATGGTTTGGGAATGGAGAGGGCATCGCTCCCTGATGATGCAGGATACTGGCCCCTGAGATCAGCCTTCTAGAAAGGAGCAGAAAGGCACAAATCAAGTGCACAAATACAGTAATAATTCCAAGATTTTTACTGGCGTTTGCAGGTAGAATATGTGTCTCTGGCGCTAAAGGCGTGCGTTGCAGGACCAGCTGCATCCATGTTACCTGTTACGTGTACAGAAATGACTCCCCAGATGTCCGCTTGCGGTGCGGTTGGGAAGCCAGGGGCAGGGTGAGGACGAGAGGGACAGCACATGCCACCGACTCGGGACCTACAGAAGTCCTAACCCCCAGCAGTACAAGAACAGAAGCCTGGGTGTGAAAGGCAGCGCTTCCCTCCGTACGTTCGTTTTGCATCTGCTTTGGTTTTGCTCCGGGGTGCGGCGCGGTGCGCCTGGCCCGTCTCGCAGGGCTTTGCTCCGAAGCGGGCGTGCGGAGCAGCTGGCCCAGCCCCGGGAGGGGGTTAATCTCTGCCCGCCTGCTCCCACTGCTGAGCCATGCTAATGAGTTAACAAAAAGCCTGTTGCTTTTCAGGAAAACGCCCGCTTTACCAAGCACCCTGTAAGGAAGAACACTGCTGGCAGAAAAACGAAGCCTTTTTAGAGAAGAAAGTACCGCGGCGCTGGGGGTTCGATTGCTTTTGGGGATAACGAGCCTCCCTCTGGTACCTCCGCCTTCCCGGTTCATCACTTCCATCCCTAACGTCCGTGCTCGATTTTTTAAGTTCTATTCAAATACTGTTTTAGAAGTAAAAGGCCAACGGGGACACCCTTATTGCGGCAGAGACCCCACTGGCTTTCCAGTTGAGTAATTTTAATGCACACAGTGGCGGTGAGGAGTGGGAAGGGAAATGACGGGGAACTTCGGGGTGTGCGTGTGTGAATCGGGCTCCGTAAAGCGCTGCTCCGTGCCTCGTCGTGCTGCCGCTCTGGGGACACGGTTCCTTTGGCAGAGCGCGCGGTAACTGCCCTGACCTTCTTTGATGCAAAGCATTTCGTTTGTTAACTTCCACAGCGTACCATCAGGTAATGCTTAGAGGATTCTATTTAAGGACACTTAAAAAAAAAAGAGACTGTGTCATCTACAGACACCTCTCACTAAATTAAAGAAATCAGTAAAGTAACCGTTCAGTTACCATGTGCTACCTAAATCCTCTGCAAGAGCACAAACAGACTTTGCAAGAAGCTCCTTGGGTTTGTAAACTTCCCTTACTCTTTAAAAGAGAAAGATTCAGTCAAAGAGCAGTGGGGAAGAGGAGCCCCTTGAAACAGAGCCCAAGCGGAGGTGCTCCCTGAGGAGGTGCCATGTCACGCTTACCTTCTCTTGCCTTACCTCGTGTGGTCTCCTGTTGGGGGCAAAAGCCACCTTTTGGGCTCTCCATCCTGGCTCTGAAAACATAGACTTCTTCCTGTCTCGCTTCCAAATAACGTCATCGTGAAGCCTAGTGTGGGAAGCATCAGAACAGCTTCTCCTGAAGATAAATAGGTTTTCTGGCGTACCCTGAGAGAAGAGAAGCTCGCAGATGTTGCTGTCACAAGGTGAACAGATTAACCCAGATATTTCTGGAGTTAGGTGCTTTTCTTGCCGTTTGGAGTCCCGAGGGTTTGAACTCCCCGGGCTCCGTGGCGCGGTGAGGTGGAGGTGCCAATGCCGTATTGCTTGGGGGTTGTGGCCTGGGGTACAAGGCACGCGTTTTGGGATTTCCACCTCCTCGGGGTTGTTTCAATTTCTCCTTTCCCTCCCTTCTTTTCAGAGTAGCTGGTGTCCAACTCTGTTTTCAGAGCAGGGTGAACTTTGTGGGCCCTGATAAACAAGTTTTTACACACGTGGAAGCGTGTAGAGACGCTAAAGGGAGGGAAGTGTGGAATGATTATGCTCTTCTCCATGAGGGGGCCCCCCTGCCATAGAGGGTGCTGGCAGCTTTCTGGTTTAAAGAAGTCGTGAGGCTCCTCTAAGGTGTGAGTGTGGGCCAAGCCAACCAGCCCCATGGCCCCGGAGGAGTCGGAAGGGAGAACTTCTGGCCCTTTGCCTCCCGGGAATGCTGAGCAAAGCAGACACAGCAGCAGCTCTGGGCAGCAGCCTCCGAGTCGATGTGGGCAGGCTGGGATTCGGAGCAGCGCGCTCCCGCTCAGCCCTTTTAATGGCACCAGAGGTGTAAAAGGAATGCAGCGGGGGAGCCGGGAGCAGCAGCCCCGACCTAAACCAGCAACGCCTCCGGCAGCGGCGGGGCTGTGAGGGCTGCGGGCTGCGGGGGGTCTGGTCGGGGTGCTGGTGGTGCAGGGCTCGGTGCTCCAGCATCGCAGTAGCGTGCGCTGCCGTGAGCCGTAACTCGCCCTCCTCGGGGCTTGGGAACGCATGGTGGTCTTCCGAAACTGCCGAGTCTGGCTAGGGCTCTTTCACTGGATTAGTACGCATTTATTGAACGTATTCTTATCTCACGTGCATCTGCCAAAGTATTAAACTGTTGAAATCACGTTGATAGTAGAGAAAGCTGCAGGTTTGCTCTTTTTTCATATAATAAAACTCATTAACGTGCACTTGAACACAGTCACTTCAACGAAGAGCTTCACTTTGATTAGCGCTTTGCATTCACATATACCCGTAATAGAACCCGCTAAGGTGTAGGAACTGCGCTAAACCTCCGTGCCGCGGTGCTGGCCGGCCCGCGCCGCTCCCGGACGCGTGCTCGGGAGCAGCAATCTCCTGCGCGGCGTGGGGGGATCTGCTCCCTGCTCCCACCCTGAGCCTCGGAAGCAGCGATTGCTGCGCGTGGTAGTGCTTCATTTCCCCAGAAAAAGAGTAAGCCTATATATGTTGCTTACAGGTTAATACTTTTTTTGTTACTTTATGCAAAATAGCAAAGAGAAGGGATGGCTGGGGAGGGGGTTCTGTGCATGCTCAAGCATAATTTTCCATGACTTGGCAAAATCCATAATGAATTGCAGCGTACTGAGATGGTGGACGGATACCAGGAATGACCGAAAGAAACAATCTTTCTTTTGTTTATTATTATTGTTGTTGTTGTTATTATTTATTAGTATTTAAAAAGACTTCAAGGGCTGCTGCTTGGTGGAAGCCTGGTCATAGCAGCAGGATTGATCAGACTGTGTTATAGGAACATTTTGATGTGTTTTAGAGCTGGCAAAGTGGTTTGTGGTCTCTCTTTCCTTGCTGCAATAGTCAATTCATGAGAAAGTTTCCTTTGTGGGATAGGTCGAATGTCTCAGGTTCATCCCAACGTGCACTGGTTCCCGGGTGTTCCCTCCCCTCCTGTAATATCCCGATGCTGTATCGGAGCGCGTTCATCCCTGTCCTCCCCATAGCTTTCCCCACCTTTCCTTCCCCCCGCGCTGCTGCAGTTCCCCCTTGGTGAAATGTCCCGGGGAGACCCGCGTGCGTCGAAGCCAGCGCAGAAACACTGCCCTTCCCAGATCCTTCCCAACCCTCGGTGGCCGCCAGCCCTCGGGCGCTGCCAAGTTCTGCAGGCCTGTGGTCAGGCACAGAGCAGACACATCCTTAGGTGATGGGGCGATTTACAAAAGGCACAAAGTTGCTGGCCTGGGGAGGGACGAGCACTCGGGGCAGCCCGCGGGTGGGAGCGCGGGGAGGATTTGTGGAATTGCCGGGTGAGGTACAACTGGCGTAACGCACCCGGGCTCTGCCGCGACGTATGCAGCGGTGGTAGTTAAAATAGTGCCATTTTAAGAAAGGAAGCTTTCAGACATCAGTAAGCTTCTATATCTTCTTTGTCAGGTACATATTCTCTCAGTTACCAAATACTAGGTTTTATTTTTCTTAATACAGTTACGGGGTGCCTGGTATTGCCTACGGGGTACATGGCATTGCCTACGGGGTACCTGGCATTGCCTTACTGTTTCTTGCCTTTATCTTGTCGTACCAAGTTGTGTATGGCAAATTTAGATGCCAGTTAATCCCTTCCTGTTATTCAAAGAATTGCAGTAAACCCCTCAACGTCAGAAATTCTAAAGAGCATTTGAATAATTTCCGTCATTAGAAAGCGTAAGGCGCGGGGCTGTCTGTCATCTCATCGTGCTGCTGCGACCGAGTCACACAGTAAGGAAAATTAAACCAAATAGATTTGGTGGCTTTAGTTCTTTAAGAAGCTTCGTGGTTTACTCTCCTCTAACCAGCGCTTAGCTGAATTAAGGAAAATTGCTATAAACAGGGTATTTTTCAGCCTGGGTTTAAAACGTCGTAAAAGAATAAACCATAAATTCTCGCAAAGACATTCTCCATTTGCTTGTCCTCTGTTGGGTGATATGTATTCAGCACATACAGATAATTTGTTAACAAGGCCTTTTTAACACTTTGGACAGATGCACATACTGTTTTCAATCTTCATGGTTAATTATTCGATTTTGTATTTGATGATAGAACACCCTGACTCCTAATCACTGCTCATTGTTGGAAGTCCATTATATTCTAACTGTTGGAGTGCTCCCGTTGACCTTGAACTGACATTATAAGCTGTTTCTAATCTTTTCACTCTATATTTCTAATGCTCCTTTTCTTTCTCCCCTCTTTGTCTGGTGCCCGTTTAGCATCACAATGGGGCTGCCCCTGCGCCCGCCCGCCGACTCTGCCCGCTCGGCGCGGCACGCTCTCTCCCTCATCGCCACCGCCAGACCACCCGCCTTCATCACCACCATCGCCAAGGAGGTGAGCGGGGCCCCTCGCCTCGGCTGCCGCAGCTTTGAGGCTCCAGGCTTACGAGCAGGGAGGGGATTGGGGGGGGAAAAAAAGGAAAACCCCATGGGTTGAGATACAGACAGCCTCATAGGACAGCAGAGGAGGAGAAAATAATAATAATAATGATAAAAGAATATACAGAGCAAGTGATGCACAGCGCGACTGCACCCACTGACCGATGCCCAGCCCAGCCCTGAGCAGCAGTGCCCCCCCCGGCCAGCTATTCCCCAGTTTCTATACGGAGCATGAGGCCATATGGTCTGGAATAGCCCTTGGGCCAGCTGGGGTCGGCTGTCCCAGCCGTGTCCCCCCCAGCTCCCTGTGCCCCTGGCAGAGCAGGGGGAGCTGCAGGGTCCTGGCCTGGTGTAAGCCCTGCTCAGCACCAGCTGAACATCAGGGAGTCACCAACGTTCTGCTCACCCTAAATCCAAAGCACAGCCCCGTGCCAGCTGCTAGGAAGAAAATTAACTCTGTCCCAGCCGGAACCAGGACATGCTCAAAAAAGGGAAGCAGCAAGTGTAACGTTTGTATGCCTGCAGCTGCCCAAATCAGCCTTAATTTATGACAGGAGCGATATTTAACTGAGGCCGATGAGTTGTGTCTGTCTTTATTTGTTGTATCCTGGTTGTTTAAACTTCGCGTTTCACACAGCAACGTGTGAAATCCTGCTTTCTTCAAGCACTGCACACCTGACCCCATTCATTACAAATTAAAACATAGTGGAGACTTCGCCATGGGCTTTGGAGGGTGAGGAGGAGGGGGCGCTGCTGTGAGGTTGGTGTAGGCTGGGCACCCTCTGTCTGAGAGCCATCTGAACCACCCGGGTACGGCCTGGAGCTTTGAGCTGCAGCAGTAGGATGGACCACGGGCAGTGGCTGGCCAAAATATCCCGTTATAAAGCAGCTGTCTAATGCCTAAAGATAGATGTTCGAGTACGCAACGGTCACGTAATCAAGACCCGGGCATTTGCTTATCTTGACCTTTAGTTTGATGAGATTAAGAATTCCTTAAAGCAGGTAAGCCCTCGTTTAAAAACTACGTCAGGGATAACCATTAGTGACTGCTGCTGCTGGGCAACGGGGGAGGGAGAAATCATCCGCAGGTCTCAGAGTAAAGCAAAGCATTCGGAGAATCGTTTAGGTTGGAAAAGACCTTTAAGATCATCAAGCCCAACCGCAGTTCCACGCAGTACAGGCTTCCTTAATGCAACGCACGCATGTAGCAGCAAGCGCGGATGGGGAATATTTAGGGAGCCCGAGTCTCCAGGTGTAACCCTGCTCTTCGGTAGGTGCACAGACACACTGCCCTCGCAGCCAACACGCAGTCGCAGCAGAACATTCACACCACCGCTCTGGCTCGGGCCAAGGGAGAGATCTTGAGAGTCATTGAGATACTTATTGAGAAGATGCCTACCGACGTTGTGGACCTTCTCGTGGAGGTAAGGCTGGTCTGCCCTGTCTGCTTGTGGGTTTGATGCAACAGTGAATGATGTGTTGGCCCGGAGTCGAATCGTAGAATTTCTTTCTGCGTGGACCGTAAACCTTTTTGTGTGTGAAGAGCATTTGTTTTATGCCACCCAGCTCATTTTTTGAACTATAAAAGCTTAAATTGCATCTGAATTGCGTTAAATCACGTTGTTGGCAAAAAACCCCAAGCAAGAGCACTTGCTGGAGGTACCGTGTGCTCACCGCACTGGCACTTGGACATGCTGGGGGGATCACGTGGATGTTTTTACTTGTTGCATTCGTTGATGCTGATGAACATTGTCGAAGGGTGGTACAGATGATGTAACGGATTGGTAACTCATACCGATGCCCCGAGGCCTTTTGCACGCCAGAGCTACTTACAGAGCTCCAAGAGCTTATGCATAGCAGTAGTGTGCTGTTCCCTAACTGTTTGCAGGTACTCGGAGTGGTTCCAGTTGCCAGTACCATCGCTGTGGGCAACGCCTGTCATATGCAAGAGCATTCTTCTTTGGTTTATCCTGATTGTGTATTAAATTCAGATACCAAAGGTGCAGTCAGGCACAGAAATTCTCTATTTTTGCCTCTTAGAACTTTCATTAGGAGACATAAACTACAGTACATGAAATGGTTTTAACTTTTGTTTCCAAGGTTATGGACATCATCATGTATTGCCTTGAAGGATCTTTAGTGAAGAAAAAGGGTCTTCAGGAATGCTTTCCAGCTATCTGCAGGTGAGCTCTTCCTCCAAGAATACTGTGAAGTAAATTACAGGGGCACCAGCAGGATGTATTTCTTACTTAAGAGTGAAAAGATCTTTTTACATGATGCTTGTCCCTTAAAACATCAAATGTGAAGAGTGTTTTTAGCTCACCCATAAGCCTTTGTAGGCTTTTAGTTCTCTGCCACATCTAACAGAGATGTGGATCAGAAAAGCAAAGCATTAACGGCTCCTTGAAGTTTTGATATTTAGAAGTCCAAAAAGAGGAAGATACTGTGTAATCTCATGAACAACCCTGTCCTGCTGCCCCTCCATGTATCCTAGCTGCTGCACCGGGACAGCCCCGCAGGCTGAGCAGCTTCCTCCAAAGGATTTACCAAAGATGAGAATAACGCGCTTGAGCAACAAGTGAGATTCCAATAGGCACAGCCTGCCTGAGGGAATTAGTTGCCACCATCAAAGTGGCTGGGGGGAAAAAAGAAAATGGTGACAGCAGAAAATAAGGC